GCCCTGGGGTGACAGGAATGGGCTGAGACCTGGAATGGGGACCCTGCCCTGCAGAAGGGGAGCACAGGGGGAGGTGGGGTCACCCCTCGGGTCTGTGCTCGGCCCCTTTCGAGGTCCAGGCTCCAACACCACCTTGGCTTTGAGCTCAAAGCCTAAGGAAGTGACAGCAACCACTTTTGCAATGCAGCTGCAGGAGGCGTTTCCCGTTCCTGGGGCTCCTGCCTGATGCCTGGTGCTGGTGGCAGCAGGAGGAGGAGGAGGAGGAGGAGGCGGGGAGGAGAAGGAGGAGGAGGAGGAGGGCAGGCGGACGTCTCGTGTGGTGATCTGCCACACTCGGTCACCAGCACCTTGGTGCTAAATCCTCTCTGGTATGGCAAGAGAAGAGCCTGGGGCTCCTCAGGGAATTGGCTTTGCAGGTCTCTTACTCCAACTCAGCCAGCGCAGGTATGAGATGTCCTTGGTATTTTCCATTGTGAGAAGTCAACACCTCCAAAGCAGTCAGTTACTTTGGGAAAAAAAAATTCTCTCCCTGTTGCATGACCTGGTGCTCTTGGGTTCAGCTGCCCCCCAGTCCCAGCCCACGCTGTCCTGGCTGCTGGCAGCACGTGGATCCCAGGCCCTGCTGCCGGGTTTGGGTTGTTCCCCCCTCCTGACCTCAGGTGCGTTTGGGCTTCCCCCTAAGGCAGGGCCAGGGGCTGTGCTGCTGCAGCTCCGGGCACAGGAGGAGCGTTTCCTGGGCACTGTGTCCCACCTGCACCCCAGGAGCTGAGCCCTGTGCCCATGTTTCTGACCGGGTCTCCCTCCTCGGCGGGTGCCCGTGGTGCCCACAGCGCCTGGAGCAGCGGCAGCACCTCGCACCTACGCCGCACGTTTGTCCCCTAGGGACTTCAGCACAGGTCCCGCTGTGCTGTCTCCCACCCGAGTGGTTTTCCAGCACGGCCTTGGTGCTGTTTTGCTCTCTGAAGAGCAGAGAAATAATTCACCCCCATTTGCCTGTTGATAAGTGATACTCCACTACCAGGCCACCCCAATGCCACTCTCGGTGTCTTGTGTGTCCTGTGGCTTAGGGGCAGCGCTCGGTAACCTCACTGTATTTCCTCACAGCACCTTTGTCACTGTGACACTTTCTGGGTGGAGCTGAAGTTGGATGGAGCTGAAGTTTTCCCTCCAGACCATCCCCCTCCCGTGTACGAGTCGACTCTGGCTGTTGGGTTGCAGAAGACACCATCTTATGGATGAGGTACCCTGGGTCATTGTCCACCAGTGCTGCCCAAGGGCGTGGATGTGTCTGTCTCACCACCAAGAAGGATTTCAGCCCTTCTCCTCTGGGGATGCTCCATCCTGGTGCCCTTCTGGGAACATCTGTGATGGTTTGGCAGCTGTGACACGTCCCTGGATGTGCTGCTTGGTGGGGCAGCACCTGACCAGCTGGGCACCTTCCCTGCCTTGGGGCACTGAGTTTCTGGAGCCCCGCTGCACTTCCAGGCTCTCCATCGTGGTAAGTCTCTGAGGCTTCTGATCCTCCCCCTCCATGGTGAAGGAAGCCCTGAGCTGCATGTCCCACCCAAGAGAGTTCCCCACATTCAGCAGGGTCTCCACGGGGACATCCCTGACACCACCTGTGTGTGGCTACTTGTGGATCTGTCTCCTCAGTCTCCTCCAAGACCATCCCCATGCCTTCTGCCATGCCAAAGCTGGGGAGATGGGCACCTCTGCTGGGTTTGTGCTGTGCTTGGCACCGAGTTGGCTTCCCCCCATTTCTGCACCCCTTCATAGCCAGCCCCGAGATACTGCTCCTCTCTTTGCCAGCGAGCTGCTCCCCCTGCCCTGCACAGCTGCTCCTGGGATAATGTTTCCTCCACAACAAGCCCCCTCGGGTGGAGGGAGCAGGGAAGGGCGTGGGGCCTTTTGTCTCGTTCACCGTGGAGCTTTCAGACGGGTGCCTTTGTGTGTGGCACGGTGCTGGGGGGGAAGGGCACGGGGGGGTTTCTGTGGGGCTGTGGCCGCCCCTGTC